AACAGTTTTATATATTATAACTACATATTATGTTATGTTATATTATTATAGTTATAAATAAATCCCTCTGCTTTCCCTTTTATGAATAAAAAAGTAATTTTTTTTTAATGGAATTGACAAGCCAAGAGACCAGGAGATGATGCTGATACTGGACACCTCCTGTTGCATTGCCATCCTTTGGGATATGGTTTCCAGCAGACTTACAAGCCTTGGAATCACATGGGGTTTAGAGCCATAAAATATTGCTTTAATCAGAAGCCACGGGAGAACACCATGGCATTCCAACATCTGCAATCTCAGCCTCCACACCAGACCTCCAGCATCAAGCAGGTACTGAGAGAAGTCAGAAACCACTCTGATTCTGGAGGTGGATCTGAGGAGGGACTGGCAAAGCCAAGCACTAGGACTGGAACTGTACTGCAGTTACCTCCATTTTAGCATTTGTCCATCGAGGTACCTCCACGACCATGTTGAACACATTCTGAAGAAAGCAAAACAGCAGTGAGTGGGAGGGAACCTTGGGGCCATGCTTTAAACTAGGGAACACACACAAGTGAGCACAAAAACCAGCCAGTTCACCTGAAACCATGCTTTTTCTGTTGTTTTTTTTTTTTTTCAGGGCTAATTTTGAGACAGTTGATAAAAGTCCTGTAGCCCAGTCAGTCACATGTCATCTCTCCAAGCTGAATCCCACATGTTCTCCATCAGCTGCCACCTACAAACATCCCCATCACATTCCTAGGCTACAGGAACAGGTTAAATCAATGGCAAACAGCTGCATACAAAGTACCCTGGACATAACAAAATGGGTTTCGGGCCATATTTATTAAATACAAAGTGTTTAATGCTCCAGAAAGAGCCACTCTGGCCATCCAGAAAAGACAAGACCAACAGGGCAAGCCATCCATTTAAGAGTGTGGGTATCTGTGTACTGCCCTGAATGAGTGAGAGCACCACTCCCAAACATTCCAGCCATAATGCAGGGAAGTTTGCCCTTTCTCCAGGCTGCCACTCCTGTAGCAGCAGACCTTGCTCGTGGCATGGTGTGAGGATGAAGACGTGGGGGAGAACTGCAGAAGCACATCTCACTGTATCTTGTTTACAGGTGACACTTGAAAACATCTCCTGTTGATCCAGCTGGGCTGAGAGTTCAGTGTCAGCCTCCTCCCTGGGAAAACAAGCTTTTCCACACGTGAACCTTAACATCTGCTGTTTGAAGAGATTATGGCTTTTTAACAAAAAGTCAAACCTTGCTCCCTGGCCTGGGCAAGGCTTCTAATCCCCACCTTAAGCAGCATTAGCATGGCAAAGTCCCTCGAACCTGTATTGCCCCATAATTGGATTGATATTGTGCAACGAGGGCTGTTACATCACTGACTTTGCCCACACCCTTCCCCAGCAGAGCTTTATCACAAGCCCTGAATTGCAGGGGGTCACTGCTCATTTGCATTTTGCAGGCAGAAAGGCACAGAACTGTTTTTATATTCCTAACTGGAGGGGAGGAATGAGGCAACTGGAACAGGCTGGGCTGGGAGCAGGGGAAGATGACTTGGGGCTGCATCTTTGTAAGGACTGAAGCTTCCCCATGGTCCAACTTGGCCAAAGACACACAGAGAGCAGCTCAAGAACATCCCTTTGCAATGACACAGGTCCAGGTAAGGTCAGCACAGCCCAGCCTGAGACTGAAAAAAACACCCTGCAATCCTCTCAGCGTCTTAGGAGTCTGAGGATAAAGATCAAGGAGCCCAGACAGAGTGGGACAACCTTCTGCTCTGAGCTGGGCCCTGTAAGGTAGCTGGCAGCCCACCTGCTAAGTGATGAGTAAAACCTCAGTGCTGAGGCACTCCAGCCACAGAGAGCCCCACGGGAGCAGCACTATTGTGTAACTTGGGGGACTGTGACCTTCAGCTATTGGGACTTTTCTCTCTGAATGACTTGGCACAGAGCTGCTGGCAGCAGCCCTGCGTGCCCGAGGGCACACCAGTTTCCCCTGTTAAGCACTACCAGTTCAAGGAACTCCCCCTCACCTCTGTACTCACTCCCCTGCTCCTTCCTCCCCTGTTCTGCAGGCGCCTGCAAAGCGTGGCATTATCTGGATTTTCCTTGTCTGGGTTACCTGCCAGGCACCTGCACTGGGAACTGCTTCCCTACTGAGCCACTGCTGAGTCCTGGATGGCCACAATCCATCTTTTCTCCTCTGTGGAGGCAAAAGCCACTACACACTTCCCAGAGCACCTCAGGTAGCTCCATCACCTTCACCTCAGCAGCTCAAGCATTTTGGAGGTTCATCTCTCAGCTCTGCATATTCTTTTTTCCTTTCCCAGAGCCACTCCCCACCTCTGAATTTCAGCTCTCTCTAACAAGTAGTAGCTGCTCCACTAATTTCCCAAACTGCACAGCTTTATAGTCAGAGAAAGAAACAGGCTACAACAGTAAAGGAAACAGTCAGAGAGCCTGAGGCACCACTGAAAAAACATTAAATGAAAACTGAAACACAACCATTTTGATTTCCTGAATCTGGGGCATTTTTTACTCAGAACAGCCTAATTTGACTAACCACTGCCTGCTAGAAGGATGTGAAAGCCCTGCAGCACTGCAAGGGGCAGGTTCTGCCAGGCAAGAGGTCCCAGGAGATGCTACAGCAGGAATTTAACCTGTTCATCTTCACCCTTTGTTGGATTATACTGCAGGCCACACTGCAGCCAAACCCCGAGCCTGAAACACCATGCAGCAGCCATAGGAATGGGTGTAGAGATTACAAAAAAAGCAGTTTTCTGCTTAGCTAACCCAAAATGCCTGCATGGGTGAGCTCAAGCCAACCACTCGCATCTCTGACGCAAAACATGGGAATGAGATCATCCATTCTCTTCTCCTGGCTCGCTCCACCCGAGGCCAGGATGGAGAGAAACCCACTCCTTGCAGGGTGAGCCTCCCCGGGGTGTCTCAGGCTGCAGGACCCCCTGCTGCCTTGGATGCTTCAGCACCCCTGGTCTCTGGATGCTCCCACATCCCCTAGATGTTCCTAGACACCCATGTCCCTTGGCTGTTTCAGGACTCCCTGATCACCTGTGTGTTCCCAGATCCCCTGGACCCCAGGAGATTCCCACATCCCCATGACCCTTGGATGTTTCAGGACCCCCTGATCTCCTGGATGTTCCCAGGTACTCTGGTTCCTTGGATGTTTCAGGACCCCCTGATCCCCTGTGTGTTCCTAGATCCCCTAGACCTCGGAATGTCCTCAGATCCCCTGGTCCTCTGGATGTTTCAGGACTCCCAGTGTCCTTTGTGTTCCCAGATCCCCAAGTCCCTTGAATGTATCAGGACCCCCTGATCTCCTTGATGTTTCAGGACTCCCCGATTCCCTGTGTGTTACCAGATCCCCTGAGTGCTTCCAAATCCCCATATCCCCTGTGTGTTCCCAGTTCCCCTGATCCCCTGTGTGCAATTCCCTGTGTGTTCCCAGATCCCCTGACCTCCTGGATGTTTCAGCACCCCTGATCCTCTGTGTGTTCCCAAATCCCCTGTGTGCTCCCATATGCCCTGCTCCCCTGTGTGTTCCCAGATCCCCTGAGTGCTCCCAAATCCCCATATCCCCTGTGTGTTCCCAGTTCCCCTGATCCCCTGTGTGCTCCCAGATCCCCTGGTTCCCTGTGTGTTCCCAGACCCCCTGGTCACCTGTGTGTTCCCAAATCCCCTGAGTGCTCCCATATCCCCTGCTCCCCTGTGTGTTCCCTGATCCCCTGATCCCGTGTGTTCCCATATCCCCTGGTCTCCCTGTGTGTTCCCTGATCCCCTGATCCCGTGTGTTCCCATATGCCCTGGTCTCCCTGTGTGTTCCCAGATCCCCATGTCCATTGGATGTTTCAGCACCCCTGCTCCCCTGTGTGTTCCTGTTCCCAGATCCCCTGCTTCCCTGTGTGTTCCCAGATCCCCTGTGTGTTCCCAGATCCCGAGTGCTCCCAAATCCCCATATCCCCTGTGTGTTCCCAGATCCCCAGTGTGTTCCCAAATCCCTATATCCCCTGTGTGCTCCCAGATCCCCTGCTCCCCTGTGTGTTTCCAAGTCCCCAGATCCCCTGTGTGCTCCCAGATCCCCCGTGTGCTCCCAGATCCCCATGTCCTTTGGGTGTTCCAGGACCCAGGATCTCCCGGATGTTCCAGGACTCCCCGACCCGCTGCGTGCTCCAGGCCCTCCTCTTACCTTCCCGGCGTCCGCGTAGATGGGGATATCGTGGAACGGGGAGATGTAGCGCCCGGCCGCATCCTCTGCAAGGCAAGGGGAGGGAGCCGCGTCAGGCGCGGGGCACACGCCGGCAGCCCGCGCCTGAGCGGGCTCGGGCGGGGTGCGGAGGGCCGGGAGGGGCGGCGGGGGGCGGCGGGGCGGCACTCACTGAAGAAGAGCCGGTACTCGGGGCTGTGGGGCCCGGCGCGCTCCTCCACGCCGTACCCCGACATCGCCGCCGCCGCCCGAGGGACACACTGCGCAGGCGCGGCCCGCGCGCGCCCGGCCCGCCCCGGCCACGCGGCGGCGCCGGGAATGGGCCGGGCGGGAACGGGTCTTGTGGGTGGGAATGGGTCTTGTGGCTGGGAATGGGTCTGCCCGGCTGGGGATGGTTCTGCCCGGTTTAGAATGGTTCTTGTGGCTGGGAATGATTATTGTGGCTGGGAATGGTTCTTCCTGGTTTAGAATGGTTGTTCCTGGCTGGGAATGGTTCTTGCTGGTTTAGAATGGTTATTCCTGGCTGGGAATGGTTCTGCCCAGTTTAGAATGGTTATTCCCATCTGGGAATGGTTCTGCCCGGCTGGGAATGGTTCTGTCTGGTTTAGAATGGTTCTGCCCAGCTGGGAATGGTTCTTCCCAGCTAGGAATGGCTATTGCTGGCTGGGAGTGGTTCTGCCCAGTTTAGAATGGTTCTTCCTGGCTGGGAATGGTTCTGCCTAGCTGGGAATGGTTATTCGTGGCTGGGAATGGTCCTGCCTGGCTTGGAATGGTCTGGGCCAGCTGGGAATGGTTCTTCCCAGCTAGGAATGGCTATTGCTGGCTGGGAATGGTTATTGCCGGCTGGGAGTGGTTCTTCCCGGCTGGGAATGGTTCTTCTCGGTTGGGAATGGCCCTGCTCAGCTGGGAATGGTTCTTCCCAGCATGTAATGGCCTTGCCCAGCTTGGAACAGTCCTGCTCACCGTGGCCACAGCAGCCTGGGCTGTCATGGACCAGCACAGCATGGTCCTAGCCCAGCATAGTTCAGCATGGCCACAGTAGCAAGTGTGATCCTGCCTGGCATGGCCACAGAAGGGTGGGCTGGCACAATCTGGCATGGCATGGTTTGGCCCAGCACAGGTGTAACAGCATGGGGTGGCATGGTCACTGCAGTATGGTGGGATGTGGTCAGGAATGGCCACAAATGCAAGGAGTGGCATTGTCCTGGACGGCGTGGTTTGGTCTAGCAGGGTCACAATAGCATGGGATGGCTTGGTGCAGCCCAGCTTGGTCCAGCATGGCCACAGCAGTATGGGATGCCTCGGTAAAACACGGCCACAGCATCGCCCTTCCATGGAATGGCCATGGAATGGTCCATTCCCCATGGCCATGACAGCATGGGCTAGCACGGTCCAGCACAGTCCGGCTTAGTCCTGCCTGGCATGGCTGGTTTGGCACGGTCCTGCATGGCATGGCTTGGTCCAGCACAGCATGGTGCTGCATGCCTCTCCGTGGCATGGCCAAGCAGGGACAGGACAGCCTGGATCCCTGCATTCCCTGGCCCCCTGGCTGGGCTGGGTACGGGGTTCTGGCATGGCCCGGGGGCCCTCGGGATGGCGCCGTGGGGGAAGTGGAGAGCCTAGCCAGGAACAAGGCATCAGCAGGACACACCTTTATTCCCATGTCTCGTGGCCAATCCCCGCAATCCCTCTGTCCAGAGGGGTTTGGTGGCCGCGGCTGCTCAGCCGTCCCAGGCGGGGACGCCGGCGCGGCGCGGGGCCAGCGGGCCTGACTCGGACACGGCCGGCGAGTCGCGGCTGCGGGTGCCGCAGAGGGTGCCACGGCCGTGGCTCCGGGGGCCGTAGGGCCTGCGCTGGCAGCGGAGCGAGCACAGCGGGGCCCTGACGACCTCCTGGAAGGCGCGGCGGAAGTTCTCGTTGAAGTAGCCGTAGATGATGGGGTTGGCGCTGCTGTTGAAGAAGGCCAGCCAGTGGGCGAAGGGGTAGACGTAGACGGCGAGCAGGCGCAGCTGGCCCTCGCTCAGCCGCCCGTAGTCCGTCAGCAGCATCAGCGTCCACAGGGGCAGCCAGGAGATGGTGAAGAAGAGGGCGACGATGATGAGCATGTTGATGACCTTGGCCTTCCTCCGGGAGATCCTCCTCCCCTCCGGCTCCTCTCCGCCGTGGGCAGGCGCCACCGACTTGAAGAGCTTGAAGGCGATGCGGGCGTACATGACGACGATGAGGGCGAGGGGAGCCACGTAGATGTGGGAGAAGAGGACGGTGGTGTAGATCCTCCTCATCCCCGTCTCGGGCCAGGCCTCCCAACAGGAGTAGAGAGGGTAGGAGTTGTTGTAGGTGTCCACCATGAAGTGGTGCTCCTCCCTGGTGACAGTCAGGGTGACGGCAGCGGGGCACATGATGAGCAGGGCCAGCACCCAGATGATGGCGATGGTCAGCAGGGCTTTCCTCAGCGTCAGCTTCTGCCGGAAGGGGTGGACGATGCAGCGAAACCTGCGGGACAACAGCTCATGGTGGCTTTGGGCACCTGGTGGGGACATCCCTGGGGACGGAGGGCGGCCGGGACCCAGGGGTGGGGATGGAGGGCGAGGTGGGCTGCTCTTTACACGAGTCTTTTGGTGGCAGAGATTGGTTGGTGTTTTCAGCCCAGCCTGGGGAAGGACACCTTGCTGGAATGCCCCATGGAGAGCCTTGTGGTCCTCCTGGAGAGCTGTGACAGGCTCCTGACATTCCCAGGAGCTTTCCCGCAAAGGGAACCACACAGGGCACCTGGACCTGCTGGAGATGGTTTGGTCCCCACGTCCCCATGCCAACGTACCTCTCCACGGCGATGGCCACAAGCGTGAAAACAGAGGCGGAGACGGACATGCCCTGCACCAGCCCGCTCATCTTGCACATGGTGTTGTCAAAGGGCCAGCCTGTGAGGGGACACCACGGAGGCTGTAGGGGCCTCTGGCTCACCCAGCTCCCTTTAGGTGTCCCCACCCACTGTGTTGTTGCTGGGGGATGCTAAGTCCTGCTCCCAGCTTGTGTGGTGACAGCCTTTACGGCATGGATCCTTGAAGAAGAACCCCAAAATTTGTAAAAAAGATGCACATTACACTTAGAAACTCAAGGAACATGGCGGCTGACATTTTTCCTACTGACTTTGGGACCCTCAATCAGAAGGACTTTCATCTTGTTTCTTGACCCCAGTACCAAGGCAATAAATAAATCACACCCCAAAATCAATAAATACAAACCCTGCCCTATGGCCTGGCTGCTGCTGCACCTGAACCCTCCCAATTCCCTTATCTTTGGAAAGGTCAACAGGCAGAGCTGAGCCAGCACAGGAGAAGGTAAATGCAGAAAGGAGTTTTTTTTCAACGTTGCTTGGTGAAGAATGGCTGAACTTCAAACAAATATGCAAATGCAGCATTAGGGCTGAACTTACTTTACCACAAATGGCCAGAACCTCAAAAAAAAGGTCTTAAAAAAGCCTTTGCCCTGCTCACCTGTGATGAGGTTGTCCACCAGGGTGGTGGGCATGCAGAAGATGCCCACCAGCAGGTCACTGATGGCCAGGTTGAGGAGGAACACGTTGGTGATCGTGCGCATCTGGCGGTTCTTCACCACCACGAAGCACACCAGGACATTGCCCACCACGCACATGAGGAAGATGAAGGTGTAGGCCAGGATGAACATGAGGGCCACGGGGGTGGAATGCTGGTAGTAGGCCAGGAAGGTGTAGTTCTCCCTCGGGAGGTGGCTGCCGCTGGAGTTGGGCCACCAGGTGCCATTGAAATGGCCTGGGGAAGGGAAGGCAGGAAAATGAAGCCAGGAGAGAATAAAGAAATTATTGCCTTCATTTCTCAGTGCCTCCAGAGGTGGGCTTTCATATTTATTCCAGTGCCCAGACTGGCTGGGACTTGTCCTGCTGGACTCATCTTTGTGCCCCAACAAGTCTCCTCATCCTTGGGTTACACAGCTCAAGGTTCTGCAGCACCTCAGCTGAATTATTATTTTAAATCATTCTTGTTTGATACCATCGATATCATTATTATTTGATACAATTATTGTTTGATATCGGTATTACTTTATTATCATTATTATTCACATCATTCTTTTGATGAGGAATTAGAGCAGCCCAGAAGACATCCTGATCTCGTGGGCTTTTTTTTTTTTTTTTTAGGGATGATGCAAGGAAGACAAATCCACATCCCGACACTCCAGTGCTCTGGCCTTATGGGAACTGGATCCGTGTGGTCCCAGCCGCGGCTGCCCTGGGAGCATCCCTGCCCCCGGGCGGCTGCCGCTGCTTCTCCTTGTGCTTCCAAGGTTCACAATTCCATATTCTGCAAAATCTTATTCTCCCCGGCAAAGAACCAGGGGAAAGGCGCTGGGGAAGAGGACACCCTCCTCTCCCCTCCCCTCCCATCTAAAGCGATAATTGTCATTTTGATCATTATCTGTGAGCCCCTGGTGGAGGCGGGGGTGGCATTTTGTCACCGGGGATCGAGCGGGGAGCGGGCTCGGCAGCTCCCACCCTCGGGCTTCCCCAGCCGCACGCAGCCGGGGATGCGGGAGGATGCCGGGCGTGGGCAGGAGCTGCCTGCGGCGGTGACGGGACTGACTCCGGGAGAATCCAGGCTGCAGTGCCGAGGCGAGGAGAGGCACATCTTAGCTTTAAGGCTCAGTGAGCGCCTGCAGGTCAGCCCTGCGCTGACAGCCCTCCGAAGCCGCCGTGTGCCGGGCAGCTGGAGCATCCCCCCTGCCCGTGCCCGTGCCAGCCGAGATGCTTTTCCCAGCCGCAGGGACCACCGGCTTCCTCAAGGTTCCGGCAGGCAGGAGAGCCCTATCCAGCCCCTAACACCCCAGTCCTGGGTGCAGGATTTGGGAAACACATTTCCATGGGGATTCAGAAAGGCGCTGGGGGGGTTTGCAGCTGGCACGGAGAAGGAGCCTCTTGGAGAGGCAGGGAAGTAGCGGGATCGAGGGTCAAGATCCTCCACATAGTCGGTATCAGATGCGTGAAGCAGCTCTGTGAGCAGGAGCAATAAAAACTGTAATGAGATCACCCAAACCCTGCGATATTAAGCCTAAAACTTTGCTGGACTTCATCTTTTGGGGCTGCAGTGCAGCATGAGCAGGAGGTTGGTGTCCCATGGAATTGGAGGTGGTTTTAAAGCAGGGTGGAAGAGGGGGAAAGGAAAATAAGGGGCTGCTGAGCAGCCGGGTGGGTGAGTGGGTGATGGATGGATGGATGGATGGATGGATGGATGGATGGATGGATGCAGGCGTCCTCAGCTCAGCACTGACTGACACCTCGGACGTGGTGACAAGGGGGTGGGGAGACCACACGGGGGGTGATGGATCGCCTGCCTCCCTGCCCGGCTGCGGGAAACCACGGCCGGGAAAGGCTGATCTGATGGAACAGGAGGCTGGGATGAGGGGTGGATAGCTTTTTTGGGGATAAAATCAATCAGGTCTCGGCACTCACCTCCGCCGGCCCGACCCGGCTCCGGGGGCTGCATCGCTGCCGTGCAGGCGCTACGGCCGGAGGCGATCTGCTGCTGCCCGGGGAGGGGGCGCAGCTCGCCCGTCCCTGTCTCCGTCCCTCCCGGCCGGTCCGGAGCCCCGGTGCCGCCGCCGCGGTGCCGCCGCGCCGGTTGCGGCTGCTCGCCGGCTGCGGCGGAGAAGGGGAGGGGGCGCGGGGGGAAACAGCCGCCCATCGCCATGGATACCGGGGGACCCGCACGCTGCCCCCCTGGGTGAGGCAGCGCGGGGGCGAGCAGCGGGGCACGGAGAGGGAGGGAGCGGGTTCGCTCCCGAGGGAGGGTCCGGGTCCGTGTCCCCCCGCTGCCGCCGAGGTCCCCACAGTGATGCTGGCAGCTGGTGGCCGGTGTCCCCAGATGGGGGCCGATGTCCCCAGCTGTCCATCCCGGGAGGAAAATGTGCCAGGAGCCTCAAGACGAGTGGGGAGATCCTCCACCCATCAATCCACACAGAGGGAAGAGCAGCGCGGTGTTTAGGGATGCTGGTGCTGGCTTCAGGCTGCTCCACTCAGCCCCAGCTCCTCCAGCATGCCCAACATCTCTTACCATAATCTTGTACCAAAGTTTGGCAAGTCTGGAAGTCAAATATTTACAGGATTTACCATTCCTGGCTGTCCCCGGCCCGCACACAGCATTGGGAAGTGTTTGTCCCTTAAATACCCAAAGGAACAAACAAGGGAGGTGTTTGAACAAGGCGTTTGGAGATAACACCTGGGGTTTCTCCCAGGGGTTTTGTTGGGTTTTTTTGGGGTTTTTTTGCAGGCAGCCAGCTGCTAAGGGACATGGGTGTGCTTGGCAGTGGCCTTCCTGCCACTGAGAAACCACTCTCTCCAGGACGTTTCTTCCTGGAAAGGGATCAGCAGAACTTGAGCACCCACAGCACCTGAGAGGTGGGCGCACACCTCTGGGACAGCCACTGGCCTTGGGTCACTTTGGCTTCCACGGTGAAATAAACAGGAGGGAAGAAAAATTCCTTGGAAAACAAGGACTTTTCCAGGGAAATACTCCTTGGGTCTGTGAGAATCCAGTGAGCAGCTGTGCAAAGGGCTTCTCGAAGGACAAGAGTGGTAATCCGAATTTAATCAGATACAAACCCCCCGATGTAAGAGGAAAGCATTTAATCAGGCACTCGGCACTCCACCACCGTGTCAGCAATTCCAGGGAGAGCCCTTGCAGCTGCAGGCATGTCCTCCACCCTCCCTGCTGCTGCAGTGCCCGGGTGGGAGGCTGCACACCCAGGTCCCCCCAAACCTCCCACCACCCGTGTTGCACCCCCAAAACGCACAAGCAGGAGGTTGCCTGGCTGGGGATTTGGCTGAGCCGTCCCTCCCTGCTGCTTGCTTTTAATTTAGGAAAAGCGAGGCGCTCACTAAGGCCTGGGGCAGAAACGGGGGCGTAGCAGGGACTGAGCTAAGCCAAACCCCACAGCTCGGGCACCCCGGGGTGCTGTCAGGATTTGGGGATGGGCTCCTCTGGAGACAGCAGCAGCTCGAAGGGAACCAGGGGCCGCACCAGCAGGCGCACCTCGGGGCCCACGGGGTTGGCCCGCAGGTTGAGGCTCCGCAGCAGCGCCATGGAGGCCAATTTATCCGTCGGCACCTCTGGAAAGAGAGCATGGAGGTGAGAATCCGTCCTGGAGGGGTGGAGGGGATGGAGGATCCTCTTGATGGACAGCCTGGAACAAACCTGATATAGGATTTATATTTATATTTATATTTATATTTATATTTATATTTATATTTATATTTATATTTATATTTATATATATTTACTATTTAATTTATATTTATATTATTTATATTTAACCCAAATTATTGGGTTAAAACATGTGAGAAATTACAGCGACATTTGTGTCGGTATATGTCACATTTGTAACGTGAATTGCTTTGTTGCGGTTGGTTAGGTTGTAAGTTCATTTTAGTTGGTTGTGGTTTAAACGTGGTGTTTAAAAGGTTTTAGGGTTTGGGGTATTAAGTGGCACAGACATAACTGAAGTTTTTGGAAAGTTGTTTTGTTTGGGTGTATTTATGGATAAAAGAAATGTAATAGTTGTAGGTGGTTTTGGTGGAATTACTATAGGAATACTATAAGTAATACTATAAGAGCTAAAATTACTAGTTTTTGTTATAATTTATTGAAATAATGGTGGGAAGTATTGAAAATTTAAGAATTTTGTTGTTGGCTTTGCTTAGAATTAAAAAAAATTGGTTTTGTTGAAAAAAATTGACAATTTTGGTAGGAATGCTGTTAGAACAAAAATTATTTAAAAGGTGTATCAGTTTTGAGGAGCTTAACTCGAATTTTTTATTTGAGGCTATTGAATTGGGATTATTTGAGGAATGATTGATTGAGGGATAAATGATTGAGGTATTAATGTTATTTTATAGGGTAATTGACTGTAAGGAGGTACTAATACTTGTGTTGAGGCATGGTGGTAATTTCCAGGTTTTTTTCAGTTTAACAACAAAGGTTTGCTGTTGATGTTAAGCCTGTCTGCAGGCTTTGATCAAAACAGAAAGACAGTGAAATATTAATTTATCCGACTGCTCAGGCAAACGGTTGTCGGCTGGACTTGGTCTTGGAGGTCTTTTCCAACCTAAATGATCCTGGGATTCTAAGGGATGTGTCAGCAAGGTGCAAACACCAAGATATCCAGTGTGAGGGCTGCCCTCCAGGTCACCCAGTGCTAATAAAGCCCTGCTGGGCACTAAATTGGGATTCAAAGACTTATTCCCTGATTTTATCCCCGGTGTTGCAATGCCCAGGAGCCCTCTCCAGGCTAACAGGAAGGCACTCGGTCTTTGCCCTCGTTGGACAGGCTGCAAAATGGCTCTCAGCCATCCAGAGGCACCCTTCTGTTTTGCAATTTCCACGAATTCTAGGTGCTGTCCTTTAGAAAACACGACATTTACAAACTCTGCATTTCAAAAAAAGGTGCAGCTCAGCTGGATGGTCCCAATGAGATTCCACTGGGAGCAGAAGAATGAGGCTGACATGAAAACCTAAGCCAAATCAAGCTCATTAAAAGGTGATAGATTTTCAATATTTTGGGCTAGCAAAGCCCACCTGTCTGATTCTTTTTCATTTGGCCACCAGAATGACAAGAGTCTTTTTTATCCCAGCTCCCGTTCCTCCACTGCAGAATTGCAGTGTTGTAATTATATCTGGTGGATGATTATGTGATATTTAAACCATGAAGCTTATTTTATGCTGGAAAAAGACTCAAACACTTCAATGCCTTTGTTTTTTCCCTCTTTCTCCTCCAGAAAATGGTGATATTTTCCTTACACAAATTCCCTAGGAGCGCACAGCTCATCAGGCAGAGCTTCACATGAATTTTTTTAATAACTCTTCTTCATGGTGGATTTGTTCACTGCCGTTCCCCCGTATCATTTTTCTTGGTTTTTTTTCCCTCTTGAAGCACAAAAGTAATATATTTTTGTTCATAGATCTTCCTATTTAATCATCCTCTAATGCAGTGGAGAATAAGAAGTTTAATCATCCTCTTATGCAGCACGATAAAGTTAAAAGTGCTTTCACCCATTTTGCATAAATTAGGGAGTTTAGTAAAGTATTTTGGGGACCAAGACCTTCCCAGGCTGGGAACAGCTCAGCTCTGCACCTTAATTCCAGGTGAGGAGCAGTGACTCAGCCCTGGCATGAAGGGACAGGCAGGGCACACGGTGCAGCCTGTAGCTGTAGGGCTGTGCCTGCAGGGCTGTGCCCTGCCTGCCACAAATTCCCCTAAAAACAGCCCAAAGCATCCCTTGCTGCCTTCCCAATGGATGAGGCACTTGCATTTGAGCCTGAATTATTCATGCTGGCTTCACCAGTTAAGCAAAAAACAGAGAGGGAGAAGGCTTTTTTACATAATTAAAGCAGAATTTGGAATGGTCTGGGTTGGAAGGGGCCTTAGAGCTCATCCAGTCCAGCCCTGGATGGAGGCAGGGACAGCTTCCACTGTCCCAGGCTGCTGTGAGCCCCATCCAGCCTGGCCTTGGAGACTGCCAGGAGTGCACAGCGTCTCTGTTGCAATGCCTCATCACCCTCAGGGAAGAACTTCTTCTCAATATCCCACCTAGCCCTACTCCGAGTTCGGACCCATCCCCCTTTGTCCCATCTAGGCATTCTCAGGAGGACAAAATTAACCACAGCTGTCCCCAGCAGTGACCTCCCCAGCTCTGGCAGCAGCTCAACATCATCCCTATTAAATCATTAATCAAGGAATAAGGGAAAGAGAAGATGAAGCTGCAGGCACCAAAACATCCCTATGGATTTGGGAGCTTAAAATGCTGATTTGATATAACTCTAATTACCAGGGAAAGAGTTAAAAGCACTGACAGTAATGTATACATAATCACAGTCCAGGGTTAAGAGCTTATTTAGATGAAAAGAGTGGCTTGTGGCATTAAATGTCTCCTTTCACAGAGCCCACAGGCTCTAGGCAGGCATTAATTAATCTCCTTTCACTGCTGTTTCCCTTTGGAAAACATCACCTACCACCTCCAGCTCGATATGTCTCAGCAAGCCACTCAGTTGTTCCAGCAGGAGCTTTCAAGTTGGGTTTGCAGCCCTGGCAGGAGCCTCTCCAGCATCCCTGGGATGGCACAGGAGCAGCACTGGCACAGCCCCACCAACCAGGGCGTCTGCAACCCTACAAACACCAGCTCACCTGCAGGGGAACCTGTCGGGGAAGGGCTGGTGGTAGCAGTGTGATTGCCCAGGTTTTTGTTTCCTTGGGAAAAAATGGGCTGAAAGCCCCCGGCTTTCTGGTGTCTACCTCTTGGCTTTCCAGAAAATGTGTAAAATAAGCTCACATCACCTATTTCTGCAGCCAGCCAGCGTCCTGTGCACTCCTCACACATATCCCTGCAACATTTTGGCTTGACATTGTCACATTTTACTCTGTTTTTATTTTTTCCACATCTGGAGGACACCCCCCAGCCCAGGGGAGCCTGATGGGGACCAAGCCTGGGCTCTCAGGGACCCCCTCCCCCAGGATCAATCCAGCTTGGGTGCAGCCTTTCCTGCCTGCATTTTAGCAGGGAAAAAGGCACCAAAAAGCTGCATTCCCTTCCTGCAGCATCCTGCTTCCACAAAGCCAGTGGGGAGAACGCTGTTTGGAGCCCAGCTAGGATTGAAATCACCCAATTGAGCTCAAAAAGTGACACAGGGAACTAAAAGTGACACAGCTCTCTCCGGGAGGCGGGAGAGAAAAAGAGGGTGAGGAAAAGCTGGGCGCTGCTCTGGCTGCCGTGGAAGCAGATTTTAATTCCAGTGTTTCCACAGGCACAGCTGGGGAGCAGCTGATGTGAGGCTGTTCACAAACCTCCTGTTGCAGGGAGCAGCTTTCCCATCAGCAGCTGAAGCAATCCCAGATAAAACAGCAAAATTGAGTGGACTCCGATATTCGCCTCCCTGGGGGCTGTGGGATGCTCCAGGCTGGGCTCTTTGAAGGCTGCCTGCTAAATAAATTCACTTTTATCTGTGTATACAGCAGCTGCCCCTGTTGCCCAGCTTTCACAGACTGCAAAGCCTTCAGCGTTTTGCACATGAAAAATTTTCCTGCCGCTGCAGGGCTGAGGGATGAGTGGCTCTTACCATTCCTTTCATTTAATTTTTAGGGGATTCTGTAGTGTTAAACAGCTGCTGTTTGTTCTGGGAAATGTTCAGGTGTCCTGCTCTTTGGCAGCAAACATCCCGGCCCAGCATTCCTGGCACCGGGTTCTGCAATCAGCTCTGTTTTTTTCAATGAAATCTGGGGATTTTGGGTCACCCCAGCTGGAGATGCTTTTAAGATCTACATCCCAGCTTGAGTGGCGCTTGGCTCCCACTGGGAGGCAAATTTCCTTTCCCGGGAAAGGCAAACTGAGAAAGCTCTCATGGGGTGATGCTAAATGGCCTTTTTGCAGCGGGAAAAGGCTCCCCTCACCTGCGATCTCGTTCTCCTCCAGGTCGATGGTCTCCAGGGCGGGGGCGGCGGCCAGGGGCTCCGGGAAGCGCCGGAACCTGTTGCGGGAGAGGTCGATGGCCCGGAGGTGCAGCAGGGACGTGATTTCCTCGGGCAGGCGGTGCAGGTAATTGCCCGCCAGGTTGAGCTCTGAGAAGAGAGAAGGGAGGCGGTGGGATGCAGGGAAAAAGATGGGAAAATAACTGTGAAAAATGTGTATTTTATGATTGGCTTTTCGCAAGTATTAAAATGAATATTGTATGTGTATGTTAGAAAGTTATGCTGTATTAATTTTCGTAAATACAGCTTTAGGTTATAACATAATGTTAAAATAGAAACTATGCTATGCAAGATATTTGTTTAAGAAAGGACTCGCACCAGATAGGAGCTACAGGACACCTGAATCTTTCAGAGAAAGGGAATTTATTGCTCCCTTAGCAGCAGAAAACTAACTTCTTCCCACCTCGCTCAGACTGGAAGACGGCATGAGGATTAAGAGGAAGAAGTTGACAGTGACCAGACAGAATCCTGTGTTTGAATGGAATTTAAGCATCATGTATGAAATGTATGAATATGCAACAGGCAATTGTTTTTAAGGGTTAATTCTCTGTTAACGGGTGTCCTTTTTCGGGCTTATGTTGCCTTGAAAAAGGTACCCGGAGGTCCGTATCTCTTTGTTTTTATTGTCTCATATTGTCCTAACCTCAAATGTTCAAATTTTATTATTTTAATTATATTACTATTTTTATAACCATTTTATTACTATTAAACTTTTAAAATTTCAAAAACAAGTGATTGGCGTTTTTCACAATAACTCATGCGCGGCTTGATTTGCAGCCTCTGGCTCCCGTGGACTGCCAGGTCCATCGGTGGGATTCCAGCTTCAAAATTTTTTTTTTTTAATTTTTTTTTTCTGTTTTCCGTGGTTGCCACTGTAGATTTGCATGCTGGGAATACCACATTTAGGAGCAATGCTTTCCTAATGAAATGGGGCAGCCTTTTGCAAGCAGAGCCTGTAAAAAAGAAGGAATATTTCCTCATAAATTCAGTGCAATTACCTCCCCAATGGACATTTGTCATGGCTTAAGGCTGGCCCTCTATATTCATGTGCCTGAGCCCCTTCTGGGAATAAACACAATGGTGGGAGAGAGGTCTTTAGGTGTGAAAAATGCCTATTTTTTCACAGTTTACCCATCTGTGATGCTTTCCTGCCCCAGAAATGAGCTCCTGTGGGGCCAGGAGCAGCTCTCCTGGGAAAGAACCCAAACCCCACTGTCCCAGCGCCCTTCTCCAGTGACACAGGGCTTTCTGCACTATAAATACCCACACAAGCTGCCCTGCCCCTGCTAATACCTGGTATTTATAGGTCCTGCCTTATTCAGCCTGTCCCCAGCCCCGGGGCATCTGTTCCTGCTGGGACCCAGCGCAGCTCACCCAGGAGTGACCGGTTCACTGGGGGAGCAAAGCCCTCGCTGGGAAACAAAGTTTTTCTTCCCTTCAGGGCTCGTTGTGCTGTCTAGAAAATGAGAATTGATTTCCTTTGCTGGGTGTGTTTCCTTTCCCCGGCCCGGGGGTGTTCTCACAGACGATGCTCCGGCTCCGGAGCAAGGGAAGCCTCCCCAGGCACCCACCGCAGTGTATTTGTGTGGTAGGTCGTAGGAACAAAATTGATTTTAGAAGCTGCCAGAGCATCCCCAGCGCCGCCCTCGGTGTTCATACCGTGGTGCTGGATGCTCTGGGTGCTTGCATGGCCATTTTTTAGCGGATTGGCCTCGGGCTGCCTTCTCTGGGCTCCGCAGGGAGGGGTCCCCGCGGTGCTGATGATCGCTCCCATCTCCCGCAGTGATTAGCTCGCATTGATGTCTCGCTAGGAGGACTAATTAGTCGGCACGGCCTGGATTGCCATGCCCCGCTGTTATCCCCAGCCTGCATTGCCTGTCCTGCTCCATCCTCAGCCCCATCCTTGGCCGGAGCTGGGGGGTGATGAGTGACCCACAGCAGCTGATGCCAGTTTGGAAGGGTGGGAGACACCAGAACCAGCGTCCTCATCCTTCAAGGGCCAGAAGGTCTAAGCAAAAATTGATTTTTTTTCGTTCTGAGCTAACACTTGCAATGAGGTGTGAGCTCAGGGGAGACTCTTGGGTGCTTTGCCCCCTCTGCAGCAACCTGGGGGCTCCTGGAGTGTCCCAGAGGGCTGGAAGTGGCAGTGCCTTACCTCTCAGCTGGCTGAAGGTGGTGACAAACCGGCCGGTGATGGACTTGAGCTCATTGTTGGCCAGGGAGATGCGATGGATCCCCTCGGTGACGCTCCTCATGGCTTTGTAGATTCCAACAGGGAAGCTCATCAGTTTGCAGTTGGCCAGATCTGCGCACAGAGAGACCCAGGCGAGGGTCTGACAGCTTCAGTCCTCCTGCTCCCCCGTGCCCCTCATTCCCTGGGGCAGCTGAGCAGCCCAGGGATGCCTATTGCACTGCTGGTGGGGATGGAGCAGGGGTTTCTCCTGGCTGGATTTCTCATGGCCATGGGTGGCTGTCCCATGGCAAGCGGTGGGGAGGGGGAAAAAAAAGATTTGGTTGTGCTTCTCACCCCGTGGCCTTCTTGTTTTGTCCCGAGTTGTTTCTCTTTCCCCTCCCAGGAGACTCCAGGGATGGAAACCCTGTATCCCAGCCCCAGGATGGGCTCTGCTTCCTGCCCCCTCCCCAAAGCCACTGTGGGGGCTGATGGAGCAAGTTCCATCCTCCCACGATTCTCTCAGGAGGATGTGGAGAGCCTCAGAGATGAAGCTGCAGCTCCAGCATACGCTGGTTTATATCCCATGGCCGGGAATCCAGTGGGAATAGGAATGAGTGGCTTTCATCTCTCTCCTTTGATGAAGTGCACCCTACTCTTGGGTATCAGCAGGAAAACACAAATCTGACACGACAACACGGGGAAAAATCTGCTGCTGGCACTGCTGGCGAGGAGGGGACGCACCCACGGGATTGTGTGAGCCTGCTCTAACTTTGTGGGGCCGAGGGCCCTTTGGGGGAGCCTTTCTCTTCTCCGGAGCCGCAGGGAGGGAACGCCGACAGCTTTTTTTAGACTGTGGCAGTGAACAGCAGAGCCCTGCTCCCGGATACCCAATCCTTGTCCGGGCCGGAGCGCCGGGCTTACCCAGGGAATCCCTTTTGTTCTCCACCGTCTCGTTCACCTTCCTGGCCACCCGCGCCACCGCCTCGCCCATCCTCCTGTGCATGCGGGCGACCGGGCCCGCCGGGAATGTGCCGTGCCCCGGGGGATCCAGGGCTGCAGGGAGAAACCACCACTCTGGCCTCTGAGAGAGGGATACTAAAAATAACCCAGGGGATCAGTGCTCCCAGGGGAGGGAGGGAGGCTGTGCTGGGGCTGGCATGTCCCTCAGGGCGAGATTCCCAGCTTTCCACGATGGTGCTTTTGGGGGGATGTGGATGCATCCTATTCCCTGGGATATGGGGATTCATCTCCTTTCTTGGTTTGGGAAATGGAGATGCATCCCTTTTCCTGGTATTGGATGCATCCCCTTTCCTGGTATTGGATATGCCATTTTCCTGGTGTAGGATATGGGGATGAATCCTACTCCCTGGTTTGGGACACAGGCATGGGTGTCTTTTCCTTGTGTGGGATATGGGGATGCACGCCCTTTCCTGGCTTGGCATAAGGGGATGCAACCCGTTTCCTTATTTGGGATATAGGGATCCATGCCCTTTTCCTGGTTTGGGATATGGAGATGAATGCTATTCTCTGGTATGGGGTATGGGGACACAAGCCCTTTCCTGGTTTGGGATATCTGGATACAAGCCCTTTCCTGATACGGGATATGGGGATACAACCACTCTCCTGGTATGGGATATGGGGATAGGAGCCCTTTCCTGGTTTGGGATATGGGGATAGAAGCCCTTTCCTGGTTTGGGATATGGGGATAGAAGCCCTTTCCTCATACGGGATATGGGGATACAAGCCCTTTCCTGACATGGGATATGGGGACACAAGCCCTTTCCTGACATGGGATATGGGGATAGAAGACCTTTCCTCGTTTGGGATATGGGGATACAACCTCTTTCCTGATTTGGGCTATGGGGATAGAAGCCCTTTCCTGGTTTGGGATATGGGGATAGAAGACCTTTCCTCGTTTGGGATATGGGGATACAACCTCTTTCCTGATTTGGGCTATGGGGATAGAAGCCCTTTCCTGGTTTGGGATATGGGGATACCACCTCTTTCCTGATTTGGGCTATGTGGATGCATTCCTATTCCCGGTGACTTCATTCAGCTCGGTCTAACCAAAACATTCTGGCCAGAGGCATCTTGGGCAGGACGGAACGAACGGCAGGACACCACCACCCTTCCTTCCCCCCTCCAAAAAAAAAAAAAAAAAAAAGATAAAAAGGATAATAAAAAAGCGGTCTTCCCACGCCGGGAGTCGAACCCGGGCCGCCTGGGTGAAAACCAGGAATCCTCACCGCTAGACCACGTGGGAGGCGCGGGCAGGGCGGCGCGGCGTGGTGCCTGCCCCCTGGCGGCGGCGGCGGGCCGGGGCGGGCCGCGGGGCCGCTCCGCCCGCGCCGCTCGGCGGGGACAAAGCGCGGCGCCGAGCGGGGGCCATGTCGTCCGCAGGCGGCCGCCAGCCCAGCCAGAGCCGGGCCATCCCCACCCGCACCGTCACGCTCAGCGACGCCGCGCAGCTCCCCGCCGACTACTGCACCACCCCCGGCGGGACGCTCTTCTCCACCACGCCGGGAGGTAAAAGCGCCGCGCCCGCCGGGGCCTCCGGGGCAGCGCGCCCGGGCCAGCCGGAGCGCCGCGTGTCGCGGGCGGACCGTGCCTGCCGCGCCCAGCTCCGCTCCGTGCGGCGTTGGATCGCGGCGCTTCCCGCCCGCTCTCCTGCGCGCACACGCGTGGAGACGGGATTGATTGTTTGTTTTTTTTCCCGGGAGCGCGGAGCGTGCCGGCGGGGCGGCAGCTGGGAGCGGGACGGGGTGGCAGGAAGCTGCCGGTGGGACGCGGGCAGCGGGGGCACGGCGGGGTGGTGACACGCTGGTGGCCGTGCGGCGCGCAGGGACACGTGGTGTTTCGGGGCGCCGCTTCCACCGGCATCCCCGGGACGCCTTCCCACCCCTGCCCGGAGTGTGCCAGCGCCCCGGGGCAGCCGGGACGCGGTTGCCGCCGGGGTGTTTGGGCAGCGCCGAATTATCGCCTGTTGTGCCCAGATAAGAGCGGGCAGAGCGGCGGCGCGCACCCCCAGCCCTCGCCGCCGATCTGCGGCCGAGAACCTTGGCCGGGGCGCCCGTCCCGCCGGGAAACTCCTTCGGCAAACAAGCGCTGCCGAACCGGATTCCCCCACTCTGCTCCTGTCCTCCCCCCAGGCACCCGGATCATCTACGACCGCAAGTTCCTGCTGGACCGCCGCAACTCCCCCATGGCCAAGACCCCGCCTTGTCACCTCCCCAATATTCCCGGCGTCACCAGCCCCGGCGAGCCCGCCGAGGAGCCCAAAGCGGACACCAACAGCTTGAACCACCAGGAGGGCAAGCCATCCATGGGTAAGGGACCCCCGGGACGGGACAGGAGGGATTTGGGGTGGAGGATGATGCCCCTAACACTGCTTCCATGGGTAAGGGATTCCCGGGGCAGGACAGGAGGGATTTGGGGTGGAGGATGACGCCCCTAACACTGCTTCCATGGGTAAGGGATTCCCGGGGCAGGACAGGAGGGATTTGGGGTGGAGGATGACGCCCCTAACACTGCTTCCATGGGTAAGGGATTCCCGGGGCAGGACAGGAGGGATTTGGGGTGGAGGATGACGCCCCTAACACTGCTTCCATGGGTAAGGGACTCCCGGGGTGGAACAGGAGGGATTTGGGGTGAAGGATATGGAGGATGATGCCCCTAACACTGCTTCCATGGGTAAGGGACTCCCGGGGTGGGACAGGAGGGATTTGGGGTGGAGGATGACGCCCCTAACACTGCTTCCATGGGTAAGGGATCCCCGGGGCAGGACAGGAGGGATTTGGGGTGGAGGATGACGCCCCTAACACTGCTTCCATGGGTAAGGGACTCCCGGGGCAGGATGGGAGGGATTTGGGGTGGAGGATGACGCCCCTAACGCTGCTCTCCTTGCCTCTTGCCAGGGGACGATGCTCAGTTCGAGATGGATATCTGAGCGGGAACCACGGAGAGGCAGCGACTCCCCAGACCTGTGCACCCCCATTCGGCTTAGCAGGATCCGTCCCGGCGAGGTGGAGGTGGCAGTGGTCCCCACCAGCGTCCCCTCCCCGCCCTCCTCCTCCCCCTCTTTTCGGGGGGGAGTGCAGCTCTGTCTTGTCCCCCTCTGCGGGTGACCGGTCCCAGCATGTGCCAGACGGAGCATCCCTTCTGGATCTGGCCCTGTTCCTCCTCTTCCACCTGCCAGCAGCCTGATCTCCACCAGGCTTCTTTTTAAAACATCCCTTTGCCTCTTCTGCTGCCTCGTGCCCCCACAAAATTCCCCTCTTTTGTTACCCAAACCTCCCATTGCCAGCAACTTGGTGTTCTGGAGCTGTGTCACCCCCTTTGCCCCCTTCTCCTGGAAAATTTGGGCAGCCTTTTGGGAGGAGGGGGAAACATCACTCCTAAAATCATGCACCTGCTTGCACCCTGGGGAGGGTATTTTTTGAGTTTCCCTGGGACGTGTTGGCGTTCAGCAAAGGACAGCATTGGGAGCCTGTTCCCTTTGGTGCTCCAGGGCTCCGCTGTAGTCCCTGATGGAATCAGCCAGCGTGTTCACATCTCTCCTACCTGGATTTCTTCCATCTTGGCCCTCCAGCCAGGGGCTGTGTCCCTCACCCACCAGCCAGGACTCACAGCAATGTAGCCATATATTATAAAACCCCCTTGCTTTTATTTTTGGTACTAAAAAGGGGCACTTTACCCCCAACGACTTTTTCTGGGCTGGGGCCGAGTGCCTCTGGGGAAGTGCTTTGTAGAGCTCGGGGTTTTTTTTACCCCCCAGCCTTTTAAAATGTGAATCCTACAGGGGGGAGATCCCTCTGGCACCGTTGGATGTCTCAGGAATCACTGGGTGTCCCTGGGGGCTGTGGGGGCTCGCCAGGCACCGCAGGGATGGGGTGCTCTCCTCGCAGGGTGCTGCCATCCATGCCATCCTCTGCTCACTTTTCAGGGTGGCACTTCTCCCAGCCGGATCGTGCTGTCGTGGATAAAGCATTTCCACATTATCCTCCCCTTTGCCAGCCTGGCACGGCGTGGCCATCTTGAACCTCCCCTGGAGATGGGGTTGCTTTTTCCCCCTCTCTCCGTGTGACTCTTGCCCTGATGAGCAGCACTGGGCAAGGCCGTGCCCCCCAATCCCACCAGCCCCCCCAGTTCTGATTTTTCACTGCCTGTTGGGAGCCATCACCAGCTCCACAGCCTTCTCAAGTGCCATTTTATCAGCCCCCACCTGAGTGCCTGCTCCATCCACCCTCCCTCCCTCGCTGGGGTCGCCCCCCACCTCGGTACCCAGCCTGTGGGACCCGTGCTGGGGGGGGGGACACCCCCAGGCTTTGTGCACTTTCCATCCCGTAATTTATTTCTCTAGGTGTGTTTGGCACGGGGCGGCGCTGCTGGCGAGCTCCCATCTTCCAGCTGCTTTTCTCACAGGGAGGGGGGGATGGTCTGGCCCTCGTTTTGGGGCCGGGGGAGGAAGAAGCAAAAGCACAACCCCAGGGAATGGGTTGTCTTTCCCATCCTTTCCCTGGCGTGGGAGGTGGGGTGAGCGCGAGTGAGTGAGTGCGAGTAGCAGTGTGTACATGCGTGTGGGTGGGTGGTGATAAGACACACACAAATATATATATATTATATATAAATAAATATATTTTCCTTGAAGCAAAGATCCTAGGAGGTCGTTTAGGCCCTCGGATCGAGGGAGGGGCAGGGGCAGGGGGCGAGGACATCCTTGGCAGAGCGGGGACGGCCACCGTGGATGCAGGGACCTGGCGCCCTCAGCACAGCTGCAGCTTTTGGGAAACCTGCTCTGCTAGCCAAAAACAATCAGACCATATCCAAGGACAATGTGACTGAATGGACAGGAGCCGGAGGGAAACCTTTTTTGTTGTTTTTTTTTTTTCTCTCTAAATGCCCCCTTTCCCAACCTCCCTGTGTCTCCGTTCCCCATCCCAGCAACTTTTGTCCCCAAAGGTTCTCTTTTGTGAGTGGGCTTGGGGCTGAGCAGGGAGGGAGTGCCTGGCCTCGCCGGGGTGTTCCTCTGCTAGTCAGGGGATCCCTTTGGGATTTCTGTTGTTTTGTACCGTCTCTTCAAGCAGGTGTTTGGGAGGAGAAAAGCTCTCGCCAGTGGTTGCTGTTACAGTGAGATCAATAAAGATTCTGGTTCTACTAAATCAAGGTGATTTGGACTGTGATTCAGGGGGTGGGGAGGATTTTCCCTTCCCTTTGGAGCAGACTCCCCTCGTGGGCTCTCTCCCAGTCGTGCCCAGAGAGCAGGGAAGGGTTAAACTCAGAACCAGCAGCTGAGGGTGAAATTGCAAAATGTCACGCACAGAGAAGCCTGATTTTCCCATAGGTCTCCTGTGCAAAACTGCCCCAAATTGATCATTTGTCCTGATCTCATCCCTGGAAGTCTTCAAGGACTGGTTGGATGGGACTTGGAGCAACCTGGTGTGGTGGAAGGTGTCCACCAGCCTTGGCCTTGAAGCCTTCAGGGATGGGACATTTTTAATATATGTTAATATATTGCATTGTAATATATCTTTGAATGTTTAAATCAGTCTCTTTAATACCATCCTCTGTTACTTGGGAGGGGTCTGAGCAGCAAATGCCTTTTCCCCCACTAGGACACTGAGGGAGGGGCAGCAGCAGCATGTCTGTCCCCTCCCTCTGGCTACAGAGCATGCCCCCAAATTTTTGTGGGTGCCTCAGCAAACCACCAGCATCACTTGGGGATGCATCCCTTGAGGACACCTCAGTGTGTGTGTGAAATACCACAGCAGCACATCACATTCCCAAAGCATTCAGATCCCGGGGGTGAAGCTGGGGGCTGTTTCCAAGGGTCTGGGGGGCCTCTTGGAGCACCCTGGTTTGGCTGCACTCGGAGTGGTCCTGCCATGACCTCCCGTGGATTCTGCTCATATTGCAGCAGTTTAATTCTGCAGTGTCAGGGAAATTTGGAGCATGCATACAGAGAGGAACACGGCGAGGAAAATTGCTGACGAGGCGTTTGGGAGCTGCTTTTCCCTGCATCTGGTTTAGGCCGTGCAATGCCAGTGGCAACTGGTTCCCTCCCGAATTTTGGGGTGTTTTTTATGTGTTAAGCCCAGCTACCAAAGCCCCTGCAGTGAGGGGTGAGTGTGTGTATATCCCTGTGTTTTGGTGTGCTCCTCCCTAAGGAGCTTCCCGATACTGGTTTGGGATCTTAAAACGGAGAATTAAAATCAATTTCAAAAGTTTTAAAATTTTAGGACTGTAAATGCAGCAGAGCAGCTGAGGGCAGGGTATTTTGGCTGAGCTGATGCTGGGAGCCTGGCTAGGATCTCGGATCCCGACGAACAAACTTTCCAGCTCTCCTTTCCAGCTGTTACCATTTTCGGACTAGCTCTGGGCTGCGTTTACATTCCTGGCCCTCCTTCCCAGTGCCAGTGAACGTGTTAATGCCGTTTTTCTCCTTTTCCTTCGCCCTGCTGGTGTCCTACAAACACTGATTTGGTGCAGCACAGCAGCCAGGGACGGTGCTGGGTGTGGGCAAGGCTGCAACGCTGGGGTGGCTCAGGGGGAGCTGGGGTTGGGGTCCTGCCTGGGGGGCTCTGAGAGCCACTGTTTTACCCCAAATGCAATGTGGGAAGGCAGGTAGGAGCTGAAAGGATTGGGGTTTTGCGGGTTAGCTGAAATAGCATCTTTGTGTGGCAGCGAGGGGAGCCTGAAGTCGCCTGATGGATTCACTCTGTGCCGTGGTGGACTCTGGGCAGGAGACGAGCAGAGCTGGGTGCTGGACCTGCTGGGACTGGTGCAGCCATGGCAGGAGCCCACCACGGTGCACCCTGTAGGTGCTGGGAAGCAGCAGGGTGGGTGGGCAGCAGCCTTATTTCCCAGGATTCTGAGTGGCCTGAGCAAGGAAGGATGGCTCTGAGACCTGGGAATGCCCTGATATTTCCTATGGAGCCAGGCTGGGAGAGCAGGGCGTGTTCATGTGGAGAGGAGAAGGCTCCAGGCAGACCTTAGAGCCCCTTTCCGTGCCCAAAGGGGCTCCAAGAGAGCTGCAGAGGGATTTTGGACAAGAGCATGGAGTGCCAGGACAAGGGGGAATGAACAGCCATTGGATGGGATATTCGGCTTCCACCACACACATCCCTGTCTCCAGTTTCTGAGAAGGAAAAACACTTTTTGGCTTTGAGAAGTGCCAGCAGTGCCTTGATGCCCCCAAAACTGCACACCTGACTGGGCTGGTGGTGGCATCTGACAGTCCCCTCTCTGTCCCAGTCCCTCTCCGGTTTGTCACCAGGAGATGATGGAAGGATCAGCGTGCTGGGGGTGCTGCGTGCCGGGGGTCCCCGAGATGATGGGGGCTGCATGCCGGGGGTCCCTGAGGGGACAGTGGTTGTCCGCGGGGCTGCGCTCCCGCCACCGCTCCCGCCGCCCCCATGGGGCGCCCGACGGCGCGGCCGGCCCGGCGCGGGAGCTGAGCCCGGAGCGCCCCAGGTACCGTATCCCCGCCGAGACCGGGCATCCCCCTCTCCCAGGCGGGCATTCCCCCCCGAACCCCGGCTCCGCGCGTTCTCCCCGCTCCAGCCCCCGGCACCGCGCATCCTGCCCCATCCCGGTCCGGGGCCGAGCATTCCCCGAGCCCCGGGCCGCGCATCCGCCCCCGGCACCGGCTGCCCCTCTGCTGCCCTCCCCGGGGTGCTGGGGCTCGTTTCCCGGCCCGGTGCGGTGGGAAGGAGATGGAGGGGCAGGAGCAGCCCTCGAGGGGGTTTGTGATGGGCACCCGGGGGGTGCCCCCAAGCCAAGGCAGGCGGGACAATGGGGGGAAGGTTTGTTTTCCCCCTGGAGCACAGAGCCCGCAGCGTGGCCATGAGGTGCCCCAGCCGTGGCGGGGAGGGTTTGTCCAGAGCCAAGGCTGGGCTTCAAACCCCTGGAAAATAGGTGGGTCGCTAGTTCTGAGGCCCAGCATGCGCCCCGCGGATGGCATCCTCCCACCCCTCCTGCCTTTGCAGTTGCGTTTCCTATTTAAAAGGGGCTTTTCTCTCCCTCTTTTGGCCTGGAAGCCAGCCCCAGCGGGCTGGGAGCCCAGCACGGCTGTCGGCCGGTGCCGGCTGTGCCTGCTGCGGCTCCAGAGTGAGTTTTGGGATTTGCATCTCTTGGCTGTGCCTGCCTTGCACCCCCAGAGCCGCCTGGGGAGCAGGCTCTGGAAGCGGGGAGGTGCTGGGGGATGAAGGCGGAGGAGGAAGAGGAGCAGATGTAGCCGAGCTCTGGGGTTTGGCCGGGCAGCCTCCCATGTCGGGAGCACGAGGGGAGCGGGAAGGTTGGGATTGGGATGGGCTTCCCGGGGGATGGCGCGGAGCCCGGGGCGCTCCCACCCCCGGTGGCACCGAGTGCCCCTCGCTGCCGGAGGGGATGTCCCGGGAGCAAGGCTGCCAACTCCCAGCTCAGCTCCTCGGGGCTGAAAACTTCCAGAAACCTCATCCAGGCTGCGTTTCCGATGGCTGCCGGACTTTTCCGGAGCTGCTTCCCTGCGCTTTCCCCGGCGCATCCTCCCCGTGCTGGGGGAGCGGCACCCCCTCGTCTTCCCGCAGCGCTCCTGGCCCTGGCACCCCTCACATCCCGAGCTTGTTTTTCTCCCCTGGATGGGAGAAAACAGCGGGTTTTGGGCTGGCTGGGCTGGGGGCAGGCGGGCATTGCCTGAGGAGGAGGCAGCCAGGCAGCGGTGGTGGGACATTTCCTTCCTGGAAGGCAGGAAGTGATTATGTCTTTGCACGGAGCCTAAAAATAACGGGCAGGTCTCTGCTGCGAGCAGAACCCCCCTGGGATTTGCTTGATTTTTGCTTTATTTATTAAGGGAGCGGGGCGGGGGAGAGGAGATGTGTGAGCTCCGAGTCCTGCTGCATCCCGAAGCACGCTGCTGGCGTGCACAAGGTGCTGCTTGTCCTGGGAAAGGTGCGGTGCAAAAGCGGCCCCGTGTAAGAGGAGCCGTCCCGTTGCCCCAGCAGCCTTCCCCGCCTTGGGAGGGGAGCCGTGGTTAGCTAGGAATAGCACAAAATCACAGCCCTCGCCTGCCCAAAGCGCCCCGGCCGGCTCCGCGTGGCGCTGGCCGTGCCGGGATGGCGAGCAGGGGGGGACAGGCTGGGCTCCCCAGCCTTGGGGACACCCTGCTCCCCCTGCCAGCCACGGCCGGGTCACACCGCAGAACCTCCGGCCGGGAGAGCCTTGGCAGCCCTGCTCTGGGTGTGGGGCTGTGGTGCTTCCTGGCGGGCTGGGGACGGGACAAAAGCTTTGCCCGCAGGTCGCTGGTCTCTTTGGAGATGCCCCCAGCCTTTATCTTCGTGTTTTAGGGCTTTTTGTTTTGTTTTTTAATTTGTGCTGCCGAGAGGAAACCCTTCAGACAAGTGTGCCCGCAGACCCTGAAGCCACTGGCAGTGAGCTGATGGCACAGCTGGCAGGGCTGGTGCTTCCGAGCCAGGGCTTTGTCCCTCTTCCCATCGCTGCTCCCCGATGAAACCCCTGACCCCAACAGCAAGCAGCCCCAGCACCTCCTGCCTGCCCAAAAAGCAGCACCCCAGGGACAGATGGAACCTGCCAGCAGGCCTTAAAAGTTGGGGGGTGTGAGGCAGCAAAACCCTGGAGTCACTGAATGGTTTGGAAGGGACCTTAAAGATCATCCCATTGCACCCCTGCCGTGGGCAGGGACATCTTCCACCAGACCAGGTTGCTCCAAGCCCCATCCAACACTTCCAGGAATGTAGTTCCTCCCAGGCTGTGCTTAGCAAGGCAGGTTAATTATGCTGATTAATAATGCAAACCAGGTTTGTGAAGAAGGGCTGCAGCCTGGATACCATTCCCAATGGATTCTAGCATCCTCCTCAGGGTGGGGAGCGCATTGGCATCCCCATTTTTGGGGTGGCTTTTTTTCTCCTCCACTCCCTGTCTCAAACTGCTTTCCCTGGTTTCAGGGTGGGGGGTTTTAAGTCAAGTAACTAAAGGCAAGTTGGTCACATGGAGGATGGGGATGTGGCACTCGGTTTTCTGCCAAAAACCAGGATCATGTTGGGGAGGGGGTGTGAAATGCCTGATTCTCGTTATTCTGGATGCTCCTGCTTGGATTTGGGGGCAGGCATCCCACTGGTGCTTTCCTGTGGTGCTTGGCAGATGCTGGTGGGGGGATTGGCAGCACTGAT